TCACAACCAACACTGACGTGACCCTGATGGCGAAGTACAAACTGCCTGCTACCCCCGCGTCTCTCTTTCTCTCTCATGTGCGTATTTCTCCATGACGTGTGTGTGCGCGCGCGCGCGTTCGTGGTCACTACGTCCTGAAGTGTTACACCTTTGTATCAGTGTCTTAGACTTGTGTGGCTTCAAACTCTTTATTTAATGTTATAATCGTAGTCGTGCAGAAAAAATTAATCTCATCGTGAGTAATTTTGTCTTGCTTTTTTCTCTCTCAACTGTGTCTATTTCAACCCACCCACCATCACCACCCACTCATGGCCACCCAGCTCACCCACCCACCACCTCACCTGAATCTCTCCACAACCAACTTGACCCAGGGAATAAACCTTGACCAAGCGAGTCACGCCGCCACCCACCCACCCATACCTCCCCCCACACCCTCCCACCCTGACCTAATGAAACCAAACTTTCTTTCACGTGGGCGGGCGGGCGTGTAGGGGGCGTAGTGGTGCAACAGGTGGAGGCAGCAACACACCTTGCTAGCTAACTTAAGAGTGTATTCCTCTATTACGCTGGTGGAGGCAACAAGTCACATTACTTCAAGGTCTCTCTCTCTCTCTCAACTCCTGGCAGACAGGTAGGTGAGGCGGTCAAGGTGCCTCACTACTTCCGGTCATCACTAACGCTACCACCTGTCCTGTCTGAGCATTAATTAACTAATCATCATCACACCTGACAGGAGGAAAGGGGACGGGGCAGCAAATGTCAACAAACAGTACGGAACAGTTAAAAAGTGGAACGTTTTCTGTGAGTCTGGCTGGGCGTTGACGGGGGTGACTCAAGTATCTTTGTGCCCGGGGCGAGGCGCTGGCCAGACTTCCCTTCCTGCCGTATAAGGCGTCAGGGACACCACCACCACACGTGCGGAAATGTCTCTCGCTAAGGTCTTACTGTTTACACCACTATCACCACCACCACTATCACCACCACCAATGTTATGTGAACTACATAATCAATGCTCATTACTTGTGTTGTTTCAAGGAGCCTTTTTACATACGTGACTCATCCTGACTGACAGACAGACAGACTGACAGACACACACACACAAGATATCACAGGTGTTCAACATCTGGATCATCACACACAGGCAACACTCAACACCTGCATCCCCTAGCCTGCAACTCACACATCTGTCCTGACACCTGCATTATAGCGCACGTGTTGGGGAAAACCCATCACCACACCACACACTCACACCTCTACCACACACACACACACCTCTACCACACACAGTACATATCTTTATTCATTTATATAAGAGAGATACAGTCACTAGCCACCACAATTACAGAACTGTATCTTTGTATTTATTTACCAACATTCATCAGGATCTCTGTAAACAAGGAGCCAATATTTCCTGCCATGCCGTAAATTAGGTCGTGTAGTTGTGGTGGTTAATATATTTACGTATATATCCCTGTTCACTAACCATATTTTCTTCAACCTTTAATTTTTTTGTTTTTAAATGTAATACTGTATATTCATGGGTAAAACTCTCTCTCAATATTCAATTCTCGTGGTTCACTCATTCAAAAGACTTTCTCTCTGCCAAAAATACTAAACTCTCTCTCTCTAACCACAGTTTTCTCAACCATGTCCAGTGTTGAGGAAATCCAATACATGCATATCAAGAGTGGAGACAAGTGACCTTTACTGCGACATACAAGAAATATGAAATCTTCCGGAGCAGAAACATCGCCGGGGAAAGTGACAATAAACACCTCAACCTAACCTAATCTATTGTAACCTAACCACCTCAACCTTACCTAACTTTAAAAACCCTACCCTTCTCACCCCACCAACCCACCCTACCTCCCCACCCCACCAACCCACCCTCACCTACCTGCCCACCCCACCTCCCTACCCACTTCAATGAGACTTTACCACACTGCAAGGCGGGCAAGCGGAAGTTGTAGCTACTCTCTCTCCTCTGCAACATCCAGCACACTTTCCCTCCACGTGGGACAACATCAACAACATTCCTCCCTCGTCTTCTCACCGCAGAAGAAAAACGTGACGTAGTAATTGATTATTTTTCTACTGCTTGGTCACTTTCAAATAATTATATTGGTGTGAAAGTGTGGATTTGTCTGTACATTTGAGAGAGAGAGAGAGAGAGAGAGAGAGAGAGAGAGAGAATGGAAAGAGAACAAAGAAAAGAAAGAGAGGGAGAGAACACACACACACACACACACACACACACACACACACACACACACACACACACACACACACAGGTAGGTGAAAGTCAGGTAAGGGGTGGCCGTGACCGCCAAGGCATGACCCTCAACACACAATCATGACCTACCACCCTCTGCCTCATCACCATCACCCCACACACTGCCTCATCACCCACACTGCCTCATCACCCACACACTGCCTCATCACCCCCACTGCCTCTCACCCACACACTGCTTCATCACCCACACACTGCCCTCATCACCCCACACCGCCTCATCACCCCACACACACCGCCTCATCACCCCACACACTGCCTCATCACCCACACTGCCTCATCACCCCACCTGCCTCATCACCCCACACTGCCTCATCACCCACACACTGCCTCATCACCCACACTGCCTCATCACCCACACACTGCCTCATCACCCCACACTGCCTCATCACCCACACTGCCTCATCACCCACACACTGCCTCCTCCTCCCACACACACTGCCTCATCACCCTCACCCACATGCTTCATCACTCACACTGCCTCATCACCCACACACTGCCTCATCACACACTGCCTCATCACCCACACCCACATACTTCATCACCCACACACTGCCTCATCACCCACACACCATACTTCATCACCCAACCACTGCCTCATCACCCCACACACTGCCTCCATCACCCCACACACACTGCCTCATCACCCAACAACTGCCTCATCACCCACACACTGCCTCATCCACACACGCCCTCATCACCCCACACACTGCCTCATCACCCCACACCTGCCTCATCACCCACACACTGCCTCATCACCCCACACACACTGCCTCATCACCCCACACACTGCCTCATCACCCACACACTGCCTCATCACCCACACACTGCCTCATCACCCACACACACTGCCTCATCACCCACACACTGCCTCATCACCCCACCCAGCCTCATCACCCACACACTGCCCTCACCCCACCCACATGCTCACCTCACCCACATGCTCATCACCCACACACTGCCTCATCACCCCACACACTGCCTCATCACCCACACACTGCCTCATCACCCACACACACTCCATCACCCTCCCACATGCTTCATCACCCACACACTGCCTCATCACCCACACACTGCCTCATCACTCACACACTGCCTCATCACCCACACACTGCCTCATCACCCCACACACTGCCTCATCACCCAACCACTGCCTCATCACCCTCACCCACATGCTTCATCACCCACACACTGCCTCATCACCCACACACTGCCTCATCACCCACACACTGCCTCATCACCCACACACTGCCTCATCACCCTCACCAACCCACATGTTCAAGACAAATTTCAATTCAATAAACCATTCAGTTCCATCGACGTGTAAAACAAACACGACCTTACACAAACATACAGAGAAAAGCAGATAATTGTTGTTGTTGTTGTCACCTGCACAGTCTTCGCGTTGGTGGGATACAAAGCAAAAAATCTTACGAGACCAGATGTTGTTTATAAGAGATGACCAGGAATAGCATCACGACCACCAGAAAAACTGTACTGTAGTTCCATTTCAATTTTTCAAGTGAATTAACAAGTTCTTCCTCTCAACTCCCTAAATTTTTTACTACTGTGTATTCGGTAATGAAAGCTTAATGGAAATTTATATTCACATACACGTAAATTTCAGTATATGTAAAAAACTATATAAATTTACCTACATCGTCTCTTTCTACCATTCGATAACATTTCATATTTAACGAGTAACATAATATCGATCAAACCTGACAGCCTCCACAGTTCAGTTGGTAGTGCTCTTGTCCCAGCCCCCGAAATACGGAGTGAATCCCACAGCAAGGAAGAGTTGATGAGGAGTGTGGGTGTCTGCTGTTGTCTGCTGGTCACCCACCATAACAGAGCCCCAGAGTAGAATAATCCTTCACCTAAATGTGGGATTACCATAAAGGTTTCCATCTCTGATACGAAGACAAAATCTAAACTCTCCTTTTTCGTCTCTTAAAACGTTGCACAATACTTGGTACTGTACTTACAAATAGACAGAACCACAGTGGATAACTCCTATTGGTAGAAGAGTCTCACTGACTGAATACCACACAACACCAACACACATTAATAAAACAGGAATCCATGGTCATATACATCACTATCAACAAAACCTTTAACACATAACACACATTGTTACAATAGTCCTAAGATTGTGAACTCAGATTATGTTAACAATGTAAATACTGTACCATCACTGCATAATTACCATCTAAACCATCCTTGGAATGGGTTACCTAATGTGACTAGTTCTGCTGAGATGGTCTAAATGTGCAAAATAATCTTACTTAGTAAATATACAAAGTAGTTAAGAGTGAGGCCTGTAAACAGTGCAGTAGTAGTGGGTACATACTGTAATGGTATCCTCCAAATATTAAAAGCTACAGAACTTAGTCTCTTGTCTCTGGAAGTTATTTAACCCTTCAACAGCAGTTGTAATCAGTGTACATTAGCTGTAAGGACTGCGGCCGTCACCAACAAACGTTTCCTGTTCCTTATATTCCATTTTCTACGCATAATAAGAGGGAATGAGTGGAAGGGGGTATGAAATAGAGAATCCTTAACTGCTAGTCAAAGGTTAACTCGGGAATAGGGAATCCTTAACCATCAGTCAAGGGTTAAATGATAATCACAGATGGTTTCAGGCTACGATTGTGTTCCCTCTGAGTTCACAACCTTGAGACATACACCAACACACAGGCCAACTTACCTTCCCATGAGCGGTGATGTCAAGGTCTTCCTCAGCTGGTTCTCCATGTCGGTCGCCTCTTTGAAAACTGGAGGATAAAGTAACAAATATGAAACTGGGAAAAGAGTAAGAAAATATGAAACTGGGGAAAAAGTGATAATGGATAAATATGAAACTGAGAAAATGTAACAGATATGAAATTGGGGAAAAGCCACAAATGTAAATGGGTAAAAACTTGGTAAGCACAAAAACTAAAAGTGATATTCGTGACCTGTTTTCTGAGTACAACATTAGTGATCGCATCTAAAATATCTAGGTGTCAAATGTGTTTATTTTAGTTCCTTGGGGAGAGTAAATAAAAGGTGTCTAGAGTTATGAGAGACCTGAACAATGATAGAGAATTAACTGGAAGGAGGAGCAGAATGATGAACCGTGTGTGTGGTAGATTCAAGTCAGGAAGACATCTAACCTACCTGTACACAGACATACACTCACACACAACACTACAACACCCTCAAAGATATCTACCAGCACCTACACAGACATACACTCACACACAACACTACAACACCCTCAAAGATATCTACCCAGCACCTACACAGACATACACTCACACACAACACTACAAGAGAGTAGAGAGAGAGAGATACTGTACTAATGAACTAAGGAAGAGTCAGGTAATATATCCTCCATGACAGCACAGTGACCAGCTCTTGTGTGTGTGAAAAGTTGAGCATCACACAAAAAAGTATTAATTTTATCAAGCACTATAATCCTCATATATGTAGTACGGTATAATTAAACCAATGTGTTCTACCTATCGCGTTTCTAAGGCTCTAATGTTTTAAAATCCTCTCATGTTTCTGAAGCTATTACAGGGTACGTTTTAAAAGGAATCGGGTAATTTATGTAGAGTTCTCTCCTCCTCTCCTTAAGAGCAAGATTCAGTAAGTATCCTGGTCTCAGCAGGGGGGTGGGGGGGGGGAAACATCTCCAACATGATGCAGCGCGAGACAAAAGCGTATGGTGATAACAAGCTGAATTAGTGCAAGCCTGTATGATGACTTAACTGAATAAATATCTATCTATACCCATCTATATCCATCTGTCCATCTATCTATCTATATCTATCTACTGTACCTATATCCATCTGTCCATCTATCTATCTATCTATATCCATCATCTATTTATATCCATCCATCCATCACCCCATAGCCAAGATTGGGTGCAGAGTAGAAAGTAGAAGTAAAGGAAAAGAAAATGGTATATCCAGATTCTTCAGGTTATATTCAAGAAGACAAATATCTGTTTAACATTCCTGCTCAGGATGTAACACACAAAAAAAATAGTGGCTATATTATTAGCCATCAATGGTTTAACGGCAGTGTTTTTGGTGCTGGTTGTCAATGGTTTAACAGCAGTGGTTATAATATTGGGTTTAACATCTACTGGACTGTACCAACTTGTCTTCAAATTACAACAATGGTCTGCAAAATGTGTTCAAAGCAAATAATAATGGATAATCTAATCAGATGCCTGTACGTATACTGCAAACATTCATAACAACTGTACTATTTGCAATGAGAAACAGTTGCTATGTAATGACAATATAGCTCACCTGTCACGTCCACAAAGTACAATGATATTACTGAATTTACTGTAAACCGAATGTCAAAATGATATCACTGTTCATGTCCAATATAAAATTAATCTGGAAATACGAATCCAAAAGTAACCAGTTAATAACCTTAAACGCAAAATATAACCTTTGCTCACTGACGGTAATAACCAGAGTGCCAGAGGTGGAACACAATACCTTAAAACATCATTCAGACTTACATGCTTCTGAGGCAAGGAATTCTTCATCTGTAATTTGGTCAGACAATTCTTCCTCTTCCTCTTCTGTGTTCACTGGAAAAGTCATGTTGAAAAAGCACACACACAGCATGCGGCAGGCAGGGAGGCAACAGACAAGCAACACACAAAAAAGTGCACAAAATAAAAATTAACTTGCAAGTAATAAATACTGTATATAACTTGAATAAAAAAAAATCGGTGTGCACAAACCCACAAACTGATAAATCGATACACAAAATTTTGAAGATCACAAGAAAAAAAAATATGAGGAAATAACTTAACTAAAAAGTTATTCATTCCAAGAGTGACAGAAGAGTACAATGGTGCAGAGTGCAACTAGCTACCATAACACTAACATAAATACAAGAGTAACACTAAGTACAGAACACACAGGTCCTCATCTTGAACTAATAACCAATATTAGTACCAAATAGACTACACATAAGACTCCCCAACGCACAACACTACTAAATATCTTGTTAATGAGAGTTAATCACTGTGTATTGTCATTATTTACCATGCAACCCAGAATCTATCTTTCATAAATATTCTGGAATCACCCGATGATTAGCACCCCAGCTTATTTCACCTGATGATTTAATCACCCTAATACTACTTAGAGGAGTTAGGTTAGGTTAGGTTAGCATTAGGTAAGAATTGTGTTAGGTTAGCATGGGGTTAATGTACGGATGATTAATCTTAAGGTGAAATAAGCTGGGAGGCTAATCTTCAGGTCATCATATTTTTCAATAAATCTAAATGGCCAAAAAACAAGAAAACATCACTTAACCACATTGGTCCCTCCAGTGGGAATATCTAACTAGAATGACAACTGATACTGCACAAACAACTTCTACGGGAGGAGGTACAGAGCTTGAAGGTGGTGGGGGTCCTGACAGCAGATGATGACACTTAGGTACTGTACCCAGGAGGCGTTAATACTCTACGTGAAAGATGCAGTAAGCTACACAAGGAAATATTTTCAGTTTGTGTACTTGCAGGCACTATACGGGTCTACAGGGTGTCTCATAGGCTGTGCACCAAAGGAAAATTAACATTTGTTTTTTGTTTTCCTTTCAGGTGAGGGAAACAAATCAACAAAGATAGCAAAGGAAATATCGCTAAAGGAAAGAGTCAAGTTTTGTATTCAAGTACAGAAAACCAGATGCTACACGGCGATCAGTTACAAAGGAATTAAATCGGCAGCACCCAGGCAATAACATTCCTATGGTGTGTGGCCTATGAGACCCCCTGTACATGTACTGTACTATGCTGGGGCTTAAAGCTAGTTAGCAGCCATAGTAACATTAGCAATAGGTAATGAAGCACAGGTGATGAAGGAGAGTCTAGTGTAACAAGTGAAGGTCAGATGTGATAATTAACCTTACTACTGGATCATAAAATATGTATTAGTGGTAATAGGTAGTATCAATAGTAATAAGTATACAAATACAGTATAGTAAATAGTATATACAGTATAGGTAATATCAGAACTACGCTGATGTAAAGATGAAGAGGTTATGTATGTACAGTCGCCTGAACATATACCAGGTACAGTACAGTGTCTGGCGTGTTTTGTGAGATGTGGCAGCAACTTCGTGGAATGCTTATCTGGTATCCTTAGTCAAACTACTATTGCGAGGTTCCTTAGGGTCATTTCGGGAGTTTTAACAGGATGTAAACAAACACAGAGTGGCCAAATCTCACCAAAAAAAGCCAGGGACTGTACCAGGTTTAAGAGCAGACAGCTGTACAATGATCTGTGTCAGTAATGGTGAAGCTTTTGATGATACAAGGATGTCCACAACCATATTAACTTCATAAATACAAGAAGATTAATAACTATGGAAGGATTTACAGGTCTGTCATAAGAGTGTGGTGTATTAGAGGTGATACAACATCTTTATAAAGTTCCTTGTGAGTTTATATGATGCTAGAGTTAAAAAAAAGTACAATGATATTTCCTTGACAACAGGGAGGTAAGTAGGTGTGTTTATTAAAGAGTTTACAATTTAAACCAAACTTAATGTGAACGATAATTAAGATGGAAGACAAGTAATCTATGGGGCATAAATATAACATGATCTTCTCAAGTACAAACTATCAAACTTATGGGAATGATAATTAAGATAGAAAGCAGGTGAACAATGGGGGTAAAACTGAAACATGACCAGCATAAGCCAAAACTAACTAAAAGCATGCCAAAAAATCACACACAATAAGTGTGGTGGGGTGGCAAGGGGCGAATTCTCACAAACTTCATCAAACAGTTTATACTTACACTGAGAGGCGCATCTGAGGTCGCTCGAGGTCAGACCCGTCGCAATTTCAGGTCCAGCTTCACTGTGGTTCACCTCCGTCTCCAGGTCAGAGCGCGTGCCAAGTACAATGCCTGAGTCGTCATCCAGACTTAGGGTGTCCTGTGTGGCGGTGGAGGAATGATACAGAGAACTGAATATAATACATTATGAAATTTTTTTTAAAATATGACAGGTTCAGTACTGCATCACCATAAGCACAGTCTTCTATACACACTATACAAGATGAGTCGGACTTTATCTATAAATTAAAAAACAGTAACCTCTTTTAATTAAATAATGTACTACTCCTTAACACCTGCTTATTCTAGGCTGAGCAGGGGAGAATTATACAAGCGAGGACAAGTGACAATTAACTATGGAAAATATATTCATTAAATTTGCTGAAACACATTCTGTACTTGGTAATATTATTCAACGTGGAATAAGAACGAGACGATGAAAGTAACAAATGATGTAGAGAGGATGAATGATCTCACAATATTAATCAGAGAGCTTGACTTATGAGGTAAAGCTGAGGAGGCATTTGCGAGGTCTATCTTTAGGTGTTATAAAAAGATAAACTGTGTGACTAGTCAGTAGACGTTTTCAATATATAAACCAGAGCAATAAAGAGTATATAAAAATAGCAATACATACCAGTCTCTCCTCTCCCATGACACTCTCTCGTTTCAGTGATCTTCTGGGGTTGAAGGGGTCCTGCATGTTGGCACTATCTCCACTCTCCGCTCCACACACTGCCTCTCTCTTGCCTAAGGGTGGAGACCGGGATAACCTTGAATGCCTTTGGAATGGGTTGACGTTTTCATCCAGATGCGCCCCATACTGAGGGGATTTGGTGCAGTTGGTGTCCGCCATGACTGACTCTACGCTGTTGGGTTTGACACAACTGCTATCATCAGAATCGGGAAGACCAGAATCTGTAGAGCAGTTCATAAACTCCTCAGCGAGACGACTTGCCTCATTGCCGAGTAGCTGGGCAAACTCTAAGCTGTCAAGCTGACCGATTGTACCGATGGATGGAACTTTGGGTAAGTTGAATTCCTTCTCTGTCTCCGAGATGTCGTTCTCAGATTTTCTGCGCGAGTCGTCTTCAGTTTCGAATTCTGATCTCGACTCTTGTTTTAGATCTCGTAGAGCCTGACTCACTTCCTCTGATATTTGAGCATTTCTCTTTAACTGCGAGAGTTCGGCGTCGGATTCAAACTTTTCTTTAGCGAGTCTTGACAAGCTATCTGTTACGTCTGGTGTTTCTTCCTCCGGCGCTTTTGTTTTCTCTTCACAACCTTGAGGTTCTCTTAGTGCTGCAACCTGTTGAGATTCATTAACAACTTGTACTTTATCTTCTACAATCTTTATCTCCTCTCTTTCATCAACCAATGTCTCTCTTTCTCTCGTTTCTTCTTTATCGGCTTTTTCAATTATTGGTCCAGATTCCTCCTTTACTTCCTTCTGAGGTGTTTGGGACGGCTGTTCCTCGTTACTATCGCTTTGCGTTTTAGGAACTACAACACTTTGTTTATCACACTCACTATAAGAATCTACCTCCTCACTTACACAGTTTTCTTTGGCAACAACGATATCTTTTGGCACGGGTTCAGACTCGGTAACGTTGAGTGTCTTCGACTCGAGAGGCGACCGAGTCTGGAAGGGATTAAAGTTCGGATCGTCAAGGAAGTCGAGGTTATATCCGCCCTTGGGTCTGATGGGTATCTCTTCTTCCTCTTCAGTAGGCTTTATGGAGTTACTTTCACAGTGATTTACAACTGGTTCTAATTTCGATGTTTCTTTTACACTTTTTTGGGGTGAAACTACTTTTAATTTTGCTGTTTTTTCTCCACTTTTTTCGAGTGAGTCTGTTTCTAATTTTACCGTTTCTTCTACGATTTTCTGCGGTGAATCCGATTCATCTGCTGCAGGTACGTTTGTTTTGGCTTTAGGTTTAATGACACTAAAACCTTTCTTGGCGTGAGCTTCCTTGGCAGGGACGGTGGTCTTTGGTTTGGGTTTATCAAATTCTTTATCGTCAGGAAGAGTGAAGCCTTCTCTTGGGGGCGAGTTACTTACACTACACTTTGTTGCGAAGGGGTTAAAGTTACCGTCGTCAAGGTTATTGAGGAAGTCTAAATTGTATCCCTTAGATGGGGGTATTGGGAGGTCGTCGTCGCCTTGTTCGGGTTTGGTGTCCGATTCGGTAATACTCTCGTCCTCGACTCTGTTGTTGTTTTTCTCGATAACCTTTGTCTTTGGGGGAGTTTTCTTAACAGGTTGTCTTTGTTGTTTTAGCTGGGGCTTCTTGCCAAGTTTCCTGGGAGGTCTACTGATGGAATTTACCGGCTCATCAAAGGTGATTTCCAACAATTGCTCGGATTTTTGTGGTTGTTCTATTCCTTCTGAAGGTATTTCAGGGATATTTTTATTTAAGTCATCAACAGTTGTGACTCCTGGCACAGGTAACCTCTGATCTACTTCAAACGAGGAAGAATCAGGTGAGTTTGTTTCTTGTTTCCTCTGACTTACTGTCTGGTCTTCATTAACCTTTGCCTCACTCACTGTATGACCTGCTACTGGAGGGGTCTTCACTTCTTCGGAGACTTTCTTCCTTTCCTCACCTCCTTTCTTCTTTCTCACGGCAGGTTTCAATGGAGGAAGTTTACAACCTGGGTCTGGGGTCGGCGGAGGGGAACTTCTCACCGAGGTCTTTGTGGCAAAAGGGTTAAAGTTCGGATCATCTAAAGCATCAAGAAAATCGAGGTTATAGCTCTTCTTGGCGACAATTGGTATGTCATCAGGATCTATGACCTGTGTTGGTGGTGGTTGTTGTTGTTGCTCCTCTCTGGATGCCTCAAGTGAGTGAGCAGTTACCGTAGGTGTGACCTCTGGAGTGGGATACTCTGTGGTAGAATCCTTTGTCTCTCTCGTCTGGTGTTTCTCGGCTTGTTCTCCAGCTAACTCGGGGGTCTCAACGATGTGTTTTGAGCAAATTTCTCCTTCACTTTTTTGTTTTTCACCTATAACCTGACTCTCACTTTGTAATGCAAGTTCACTGTCAACGTCGCTTGTAACTTGACAGGACTGGCTTTCGTTTTCTATTACTTTGCTTACTAAAATATCTTGTGTTAGTGACTGAGCTTCAATGTCTTTACTTCCACTTTTTATTTCACCAGAATCTGTACTATCAAGATTATTATTATTTTCTTGTGGTACCGTTACCTCTACGCTCCGTGTCGAGTCCGCACTACAACTTGACGTAACCACACCGTCCAACTCACTCTCTGGTTTGGACCAAGTCACGTGTTCAACGCCCTTGCTTACGGATTCTTCGATGACTTCACGCTTGGTTACGATCACTACCGAGTCACATATAGTACTTGGTGTACTTGTCGGCCGTTCACTCGTCAAGTTTTCACTCTCTTTACCTACTGTTACTGGAGTACTGTCTGTGCTAACTACAGGGCTCTCTACAGCAACGGGTACAGCGGCAGGAACTTCAGTCTTTGTAACAATAATACTTTCTTCGTGGACTGGGAGGAAGAGGTCGTTGGGTTGGTCTAATACAGCAAGTGGCACGCTCACCTCTTGCTGTGTACCCTCAGCTTGGTCTGTGAGTCTACTTGGAGGTATGAGGTTCTCTGAAGTTGGCTGAACCTCAACAACGGCGGCTCGGTCGGGAGGAAGGTCGAGCTCCTCCGCGCTTTCGTACTCCGAGTCTGAGGAAAAATCGCTGGAGTCAGATAAGGTGGTATGGGATCTACAGCAAGACAATAATGACATCCTGTATACATCTATGAGACAATTATGACTACAGTGTTCTTAATGCCATTGTGAGAGTAATAAACTGATAAACACAAACAATACTTACTTTTTACATTTAAGTGGTTTTTACAGTGATATCTCAACAGTGGCATTATGGTGGTGGTATATATATATCACTTAATGATAAACACCATGCACAAGTTCCACCAAACAATACAGGTTAATTGTCACTATCTTGCCACAAGTGATAAATAATGTGGGAGGATGAGGGACACGTTAGCTTAGGTCCAGCACGCAGACACACACACACACACACCACCCCACCCAAAGGTTAACTATATTATCAGGCATTATAAGATAGCACAGTTAACCACAATGATAAGATAAACTATTAGTCACACCTGAATAAATCTCAATACACCTGTATCTTTGTCTCTCTTATCTAAGGTTTAGTAACCCCGCTGATACTGTATAACAGTGTGGGAAATGTTCTGTTGAGCGAACTTGGCAACAATGTTAAAGATTTGCTAAAAGGAAGAACAATAATAACAATATGTTCTTGTGGGGATCGGTGGTAGAAGCGGTACCGTTCTTGCCTCGCAAGCGAGATGTCACGGGTTCGATTCCCGGGCCGGTGGAAGTTGTTTGAACTTACTTCCTAGCCCCCATTAGTCCCTGTTCACCTAGCAGTAAAGTAGGTACCTGTTGCAAGTCGAAAGTTGCAAATTCGTATTCGGGGAGTTGTTGGAGCTTCCAATAACTTGATGACATAAACCACTGACTCTTCAGGCTTCTACGCCCTTGACTCTTCAGGCTTCTACGCCTTTAACTCATGAGACATAAAGGCAAGCATGAACTTAGCATGCTTCCCTGTTGGGCGCTGTAAACGCTTCTGCGCTTCACCTTACACAAGGATGTAGGGGGGTGCCCAATAAATGAAAAAAAATATATATACAGTATGTTCTTGTCATGATCGCCTTTGAGAATTTGCCTAACAGTGAAACCTTTATTTAATGGACTATATAGAGATGAAAGTCCATTACATTGAGGGTCCATTAGATGTGAAATCCTCCATCTAACGGAGTGTATAGAGAAAGAGAAGCCCATTACAGTATGAATATGTTTCCCTGTACAAAACTTCCCCCCTCCCCAAAAACACACTTTTTCCATGAACTGTACAGCCTTAATATCTACAGAATATGGACAGTAAAGGTCTCTCGGCTTGATAGTTCCTTTGAAATGTTGACAACTTGACACTTGATTGACTAGTTGGCAGTTTAATGTAGAGATAAATTATCTGCACCTGACATAGGTCACTAATCCTTGTACAGTACACTGCAGACAGACCTCCTTGGTTAAACAGGTGCAATGAGGCAAGGTCACACAGCACCATAGCACCTGACAAATTCCCATCTAGCAACAATGTTTTTTCTGCTCAAAATATTAGCTCATCCGCCAGGCAAGTGCTGGGCACATGGACATGGAAAATTACTTGCCGGACCCACATGCACATCTGGGCTGCCAGGTACTGCTGCTCTGCACAGTCCACACTTATTACAAACTGTCACCCTTCACACCAGCATATAGACTAAAGGTATTTCTTCACACAAACTCAAAAACACTTTTTCATTATATTAATACCGTTCTGTATAGCATTAAAAACAAAAATTAATCACATTTTTATATTTCTAATTCATCATATATTGTACAGTCCCCTTCACTAGTGCATTTACAGGGGCTTGTCAGGTTTTGTGCAGTGTGGCAGTCCTGTGTTTGTTTACATAAGACAGAAGAAAACTCGTAATAGTAAACACGCTATGGAATCAAACTAAAACAATATTAAAACAAATATATCAATGGAATGATTTGTGGAATGTTTATATGTTTACTAAATATGCACTGATTGGACTGTTATTAGCTCATATCTTTTGCCTAATGGACGGTGATATGGCGAGGTGAAGTGAGGTAAGGAGGATGTGAGGTGGGAGGGGGGCAGCAGGGAGGCAGGTGTCCCTCTACCTACACTCATGGCAGTATCTGTGAATGATGAAATAAGAAAACAGCAGACATAAACGAAAGCTTCAATTGAATGTTATAGTTCATCATTCACAGATACCATGAATGTAGGTAGAGGGACACCTACCTCCGCTCCCCCACATCCTCTTTACGTCACTTCATCTTGCTTAAAAGTGAGATATAGTCTACAGTAGTGACTCAAATGATGTACAACGAGAGACAGAGAAAAACAGAGAGAGAGAGAGAGAAATTAAATATAAAAATATGAAACGTTCCCTTAATAAAAGCTATTTGGCACTAAACCGTATCTTATAGTCAAAGATATGAATTACTGGCATCATGTAAAAAGCTTATGCCTGGCAGTAATCATTGGCCTCACTACAGGGATCCCAGTAAGTACAGCTACAGAGAGTTTTCCTGTAGCTGTCACGAACTATAGCCGTCCGAAACTATAACCGTGATGAACTATAGCTGTCACGAACTACAGCTGTCAAGAACTATAGCCGTCACAAACTAGAGTATAGATATCACGAACTATAGCCAACCGGGAATTAGAGCCGTAACGAACTATATTATACAATACAAGCGTTCATCGATCCAAAATTCTAACCTAAAAATTACAATAAAAAGGATTATTTCACTAGAATTCAAATTAGTTAAAAAAGTGAGACATTTCGAGTTATTAAAAAAAAATAGATAAGTGAGAAACAAAAATAATGCCACTACATGTACTACTATCATCACCCAAGGCGGAGTTCCGGAGGTCAGTCAGTGCTATGGTGGGGAGGAGACAAAATGCAGTCATCTACGGTACTCTGAGCACAACTCAACACATTACTGTATACAAGCTTTTTAGGGAATACCTTTTTTAACCCCATTTTGGGTATTGGTCTGAGCCACAGAGTCACACACTGTAAATGAACAAGGTTTATTATATATAGTTTTTAAATTAAACTGGACAAAAAACTTTCCAATTTAGAGTAGGATTTTTTTGTATCGTGTGTACAATTATCATATCCCAAATAAAAAAATTAATTAGAAAAAATCCAAGTTTAATTAAAACTGATTCAAAATCACACAAACTTTGATCAGATAAAAAGAAAAAAATCATATTAAAATCTTGCATTAATTCCATACCTTAGAGAAATATTATTTTAACAGATTGACTTAACAAAATATAGAATTAATCTCTCTTAAGTTGTATATATTATAAGTTATAAAGGTCACACACACACACAACTAACACCTACAATACTGAAAAAATAAATATATAAACAAATGCTAAGGTATAAATGAGATTACAATATATAAGTCCGGTACAAAAACTACTCTCACAATGCTACAGTAACTACAAGATTTTCTACTGGTTAGAGGCAGGGTGTTCGTAGGTCCCTATGCACATCTACAATAACTAGTCATACAGTGCCGGTATATACTTGTTCCCTGTTATACCAATAATCTTAAGAGGAGAACAAGGTAAATAATGATTGTTTATTACTGCAGGTGCACACATGGACTTTTTGAACACCACTGATGTTTAACCTTTAAGTGACGGGACGAAGTATTAACCATGACTGCATCTATCTGTTGGTATGGCCGCTACACTACCCGGTACCTTCCAGCCTCTCTTGAAGATGTTGTTCGTTACCAAAGTTCACCTCCAAGTCTACACAATTACTGGTTTAATGGACATATTTACCTACCACAAGTTGTCATGCATGCCGAGTTGTGTCATCTATTGAATAAACTAAGAATAATTGTAGAATATATCACTGAAGCAGGTCACAGCATTTAGTATAATACAGTAGAATTGTAGACGAAGTTTTGGAGAAAAAAATATCACATATTATTACTCTAAATAGAACAATACTTGATGGTGTTCCAAGTGTAGTGGTAGAGCAGTAAAGCCTAAATCTCTCACTACTGTGTCCTGGCTTCAGTCCCTAGCCCAGACTACAGTAGAGCTTCCTCCTCTACTAACACTCGATTATAAAAGTCAAAACAAAGCCAAAAAATAAATAAAATAAATTACAATAAAATAAAAGAAAAAAGAAAAGAAAAGAACAGACCAACTACCCGAACATCTAGTATGGAATAATAAGCAGTAAAGTCACCATCATCAATAATGTTTTACAGCCATTTTCTAAGAGTACGATAAATATTAAAACTCAAAGTCAATGCAGTTACTTCATTCACTCACTCACCAGAGTTTACTGATGAATCAAGTAAGTTGACCTGACCAGCTGGAGTCTTGACAACACCCAACGATGAGACCAACTCTTTCACAGGAGATGTCGGGGATGTGTCTGAGGCACTGCTGGGGTCACCGGTCAAGCACGAGGCAAAACTGGTGTCCTCGGTTGTTGAGGCGGTGTCACACTCTTTGCTTAAGCTGTTGACATACACAGTACATTAACATCAGTGATATTAGGAAGAACTATGCTCGGTCATAATAACAATACTCAGTTCTAAAATGTTGATACTGTGCTATATATACTGTACAATACTGTACAGCATACTACTATACTTCTAACAGCAATATGGCCCAAAGGCTTGACACAGCACAACATTTAATCTGTAGAAATTACTCAAAATTTCAATGTTAATTTGTAGAATTTATTAAGAATTTAAACATTATTTTGTAGAATTAACTATAAGTACTTCACTTAGCCACCAATTTATAACAAAATTCACCCCAAATTGAAAACTACAGAACCTAGCATGTATTAACTCGACCGTACAGGTAACATCTACCTCATCTTCACTCTTAATTTCTTCTAAATCTAACGAAGACTTGAGAAATAATTGTTTATTCCCACAACTACTGATACTGTTAATACTTGACAAAAATAATAATTACACAGGGACAAATAAAACCTCTCACTAGAAGGGTGTTATCCAGTGTGGCTCTACCAGTCATAACACAAGGTTTTATCCGCATACTACTCCAGTTTTCTCCTGTACTAACACTGGACAATAAAGGTCTTAACAAAGTAACAAATAAAGGACTCCTGCTCATATGGCTAGTGAACTGAAGTGATAAAATTATAAAAAATAAATAAATAAATAAACACTAATATTCTGTATTTTTGGTACACAGTATAGAGTAATCTTCTCTATGAATGATAAGAGGGGTGAGTGTGAAGAGTACAGTACCTATGAGAGGAGGTCTCAGACGGCAGAGAACTCGGGGTTGATGGTGGGCTGCTGATGATCGCGTTCTCCTGGGTGATGACAGTCAAGTTCTTCTGGCCCTCAGCCTCCTGTTCCGGATTGCCTGGAGGGCCAGCCAAGCCCAGGGGTGCTGTTGGGCCCTGGGGGAAAAATAAAACACTATTATTTTTTCTATTTTCAAGTATTTCAAATAGTTTTCTTGCAGGACAGATACTGCCAAAGAGAACAGTTGACTATTAGCAGACCACACTACTATCTAACCTAACCTAAAACACTATTATTTTTCTATTCTCAAGAAATCCAAATAGTTTTCTTGGGATAGACTTTGCCAAGAATGATTGACTATTAGCAGACCACTATGAACAAACACACTACTACCTAACCTAACCTATAAAGATTTTCATCATATTAAATGGAATGAAGACTTGCAGGTGTAGGATGAACTGGCCATCACAGGCATTAATACTCTCCAATGACCCAACACTGCAGCACACTTAGTCGTCTGTCAATACTGTCCTCTCACTATCTCCACTATCCCTCAATTATTGTTATTTCTCATCTGTTTATATGTTGTTTCCTTTATTTAACTTGTTTCTGTGTTATTTAGATTCAATACTTTTAGTTACCATCAATTCTTACTCCAATTACAAGTCAGGTACCCATTCACAGCTAGATCAACTCGGGGTGCCTCGGTACAGTATCCAAATAATTTATTGATTTTTTTTTATAATTGTTTTGTTTAGTGGCAAATAATCAACAAATGCAAATTATGAATTAATGGTTACTGTTCAAATACAAACAGAAATGTATCTTAATATTCTCTGCTTTACAGTATTAACAGAGGGAAATAAATCTCATACATCTTCAGACAACGTGCACTTTCAAGACTACCGGTACAATAAATTTGGTAGATGATAATGTATAGAATAGTAAACATAAAAGGAAATACAACAGCAAATAAAATAGAATACTGTACTGTATTAATAATAACTTCATACACACAGGATTATTTTTGGATACAGTCGTGGACAAAATTCCCTAACACTTTTGGGTAATATCTGGCATTACTTAAGTGTCATGGGGTTGAGAGGGGAATCGATTTTAATATTAATTTACAGAGATTTATTTTATATTATGGTATATAGCTTTTTCTGTGATTATTCCGATATATTCAGTTATAAACTAACCCCATATATGACCCACAATAAGGTGCTAGATATTGCTGTGGTCGAGGAATTTTGCTCGAATCGTTCAATTTCAACGTGTAATTATTCATGCTGCATATACAGATCTGTTATTACATTGGGTACATGAGATAAAGTGACTTGCAGTGGAATGTAGAAATAAATAGAGGTTATCAGTAAAAAATCTGATAAATGTAATAAAACAAGAAGAGAGAGAGGGGGAGGGAGGGAAGGTGGTGAGGGAGAAAAAAAGAGAGATGGAGAATGAGGAAGGAGGGAGATCAAGAGAGAGAGATGGAGAGGGAGGAAGGAGGGAGATCAAGAGAGAGAGAAGGAGAGGGAGGAAGGAGGGAGATCAAGAGAGAGAAAGTGATATCTGTGGAACATTGTGAGCTGCAGCAGAGCTATTAGTGTCATGCTGAAATGGTAAATATTGTTTTCTTTTTAATCTGAAGAAAATAATTCACAATGAAACAATTAATCATTAAGCTACAACAAATGTTACAACAGCAGTTAATATCTCAGATGACACTTCATATTATTTGTCACGTTCATAAAACTAAATAATACTGAGATTTCTACCCCCAAAAATAGTACATTATCAGCTGGGTCTTAACCCCTTGTGTATCGGGTCCTCTCTCTGCTGAATAAAATTGTCTGGCATTAGCTAAACAAATTATTAAAACTGCCATCCCCATAGAGAAGGGATTAACAAGTTGAACTAGAAGACCGCACATAATTTTACCGCAAATGTAAACACTCCGCAGTTTATTTACTTGTACTGTACTGTACTGTACTGTAAAATTCTATGGTTCAGAGTTCCATCTAGGAAGTGAAGGAGGTGGACCAAAGGATTTATGGGACTCGTGGAGCTGAAATGCTACAATAACAAGTGTAGAAATATGAGCAAAATGCCTCTGATAGTACTTAGTAGATACAATTTTTTCAATGGAGACAATATTTTTGCCTCTTTGCCTAATAAAATACAGCACTCATCACTGGACCGAATTTCTTACAATATATGGGACATTATCAGAGCAAAAATGGAGTATAAAATAACTCATGAACAGTATATCAGATGGCTTTAATTATTGTTCATTAGTATTCGATAATTTAAGATCAATTATGCTTGAAATTATAGTACCGTAGATGACAAATAAACAAATATACACACACTCCAAAAAAGTATCTTTACGAGAATGCGGTTAGACAATATGACCCAACGGAAGGAGAATTTTGACAAGCCTACCGAGACAACAGGAATCGTGGCGTTCATTTTGAAGTTAATCAGACCCCTCCATAAAGATAGTTTTGGTGTGTGTGTGTACAAACTAAGCCTATTAACTGCTGTTTGAGTCGAGTTACACAACACATATCACGACAACAACACATAAGCAATACTGTATATCCTCGACCGCACACCTTCTTCTTCTGCCCAGTGTCTGCCTTGTTAGCAGATTGGCTACCCTGTAATACAAAGTCACTGTGTATTAGTACATCTACACTCTCTCTGGTACACCTACACTTAAGACACTAGTACACCTACACATAAAACTACTACACCTACACTTAGCACTAGTACACCTACTCTAAACTCACTAGTACACCTACATTTAACACTAGTACATCTACACTTAACACTAGAACAGCTACACTTGCTAGTACACCTACACTTACTAGTACACATACACTTACTAGTACACATACACTTAATTCACCAGTACACACACACTTAACATTAGTACTCTACACTCTCTCTGGTACACCTACACTTAACACACTAGTACACCTACATTCAACGCTAGTACACCTACACTTAGCACTAGTACACCTACATTCAACACTAGTACATCTACACTTAACACTGGTACACCTACACTTAACACTGGTACACCTACACTTGCTGAATAACACTGTAAAACTTTGTATACCTACACTGAGTACATATATGCTGAACCACTGTTAACTTGTATTCTTAACCAATGAAATGATGCTTACATGTATAATACCTTACAATTACTATAAATATTATTACTACGACTACTACAACTATTACTACTACAACTACAGTGCGGAAAATGTGGTATGTGTCAGTCTTTCTTCTTGTTTAAGTAAAGAGTAGAAGAAATATAAACTTAATAATCTTTATAGAAAGCCTTCAGTGTTCGTATTACCATTAAAGAAACTAAAAATTAAGTTAAAACTCCCAATATATTAAGATTTACACTAAGTTAAGGTAGCCATAATGTTAAAATAACCATTAACTTTAAATAAAATGGTAAAGACGCCGGCAGGATATAGTTAAGTCTGGTTGATTCCCACACTAGGGGTCAGAGGCCACCCTTGTTACCACCTCCTCCTCTTACCACTCACCCCATACACACCTCCTCCCTTTCTACAACTCATAACCTCTCATATTACATTATAGACTCATAAGCCTTAGAAATGGATCGTTTTCAAACCTCCTATGGCTATCAGAATGACGCAATCTCCACCACACACTCGAGGGGTCAGGGGCCACGTCAACCCACCCTAGTGTAACCACCTCCTCCTCCTCCTACCTCACACCATCCCTAACATCTCATTATTATATTCTAAACTCATAATCCTAACAAAGAGATCGTTCTCAAACCTCCTGTGGTTGTTATAATGCCGCAATCACCACCTTCAAGCAACTCTCTACACTGTGTCTCCCCTGACTCTGTGATGCTTTTGTTTACATGGTGGAGAGCCTGAGCCGCCTGACAGCTGCTGGTGTATAGAAAACGGTGAGGACGAGGGCGGTGAGGGAGAACCACTAGACAAATGGCAAACTACTCGATAAATACGTAGCTTTATAAAAAAACTACTCGTCTATATCGTCAACCATACATATTCACAGTGGTTCAACATATACACACACAGTCCAAGTATGCACACAATGATAAAACAGTGAGTTGATTTAAACCACAAACAGCTCAAAAGACCCATTACAAACCTCATTATCATCGTGGAGACTTAAATAATAATCATAAACCTTCAACCTGGGAAATCTGTGGCTAAAATACAAAAACGATATAATTTACTAACATTAATAAAATCTAGTCAATGTTTCCCACAATACAACACTCACAGGTCAGAAATATTGTACAACTATTCCCTCTATCACTAAATATACATAAATACTTGCATCTAATTTTGTAATATAGTTTGGACAATTATAACATCAAAAATAATCACAATTATGAATATTAGTTAATTAGGAAAATATACAGCACATCACACCTTTTAATTTATTTACCTGTATAAGATTCCTCAAAAAATTCATGGCGGTGTTTTTGAATGGTCGTCCGAGTTGTTTTATATATTGGTCTAATTCGTCTTCTGTGATTTTATTTACCTCACATAATACATATTTTTATTACATTTTTTTTATTTTAAGTCACTTTCCATTGTCCCTGAAACTATGTAACGAAATAAGGTTAAAAAAAATTCGTTTCGTGTTATATATAAAAAGATAATCAGATATGCGTAATGTGTGGTAGATGGAGGAGGGGAGGGGTGGGGGGGTATCTCCAACACACGTGCTAAGGGTGTGGTGGTGGGGGGCTTACAACACCTCTACCCCCACCCCGCCCCTCCCTTACCCTGCATATTTCTCATAGCGGGTCCTGTTGGCGCTTCTCCAACTGTTATATTGCCCTACCTGACTCACCCTCCCCCCTTACGTACTCCTCTCCCCCTGACTCACCCTACCCCCTCACGTACTCCTCTCCCCCTGACTCACCCTACCCCGCATGTACTCCTCCCCCACCAGTGTGTCAGTTCCCTAACCTTGATTTTTTTTTCCAATCATATGTTTCCCGGAAAGTCCCACCTTTGTGATGGATGTACCTCCCTATCCCCCCCCTTCCCTCCTCCCTCATCTCACCCCCTCTCCCTCATCTCACACACTCCTCCTCCTTCCTCATCTCCGTTCCCATCTCTCTCACCTGCTCTTTGATGCCGTTAGTTCAGTATCCGGTCCACCCCTTCATCCTTCCTGCCCCTCCTCCTCCCAGCAACACTTCAACACAGCCACCTCACGCCAGTAAAACCTCTATTTAACGGACTATGTGAAAAGGAAGGTCCGTTATATCGAGGGTCTCTTAGATGTGAACCCCATATAACGGATTATAGGGAGAAAGGAGTCCGTTATACTATCATCATCAAAGGGTTAAACCATCGTCATCAAAGAGTTAAACCATCGTCATCAAAGGGTTAAACCATCGTCATCAAAGAGTTAAACCATCGTCATCAAAGAGTTAAACCCATCGTCATCAAAGAGTTAAACCATCGTCATCAAAGAGTTAAACCATCGTCATCAAAGAGTTAAACCCATCGTCATCAAAGAGTTAAACCATCGTCATCAAAGGGTTAAACCATCGTCATCAAAGGGTTAAACCATCGTCATCAAAGGGTTAAACCATCGTCATCAAAGAGTTAAACCATCGTCATCAAAGAGTTAAACCATCGTCATCAAAGGGTTAAAACATTGCCATCAAAGGGTTAAAACATCAAAGGGTTAAAACATCAAAGGGTTAAAACATCAAAGGGTTAAAACATCAAAGGGTTAAAACATCAAGGGGTTAAAACATCAAAGGGTTAAAACATCAAGGGGTTAAAACATCAAGGGGTTAAAACATCAAAGGGTTAAAACATCAAAGGGTTAAAACATCAAGGGGTTAAAACATCAAGGGGTAAAAACATCAAGGGGTTAAAACTCCAGGTAAAGTAAACTACCGGGGTGTTTAATCTTCAGGTGATACATAGTCAATCGTGACGTTAAATAACTTTCCATTTCTATCTCCAGTAAAAACAACGACGCTTCAACAATTAGAGATTTTCAATATTTTAAATCGAAAAACTGTGTTTAGTCTTTTGTAATGGATAACGAATGGCTGTAGTGCATGAAGATTAATTAACTCTGATTGGTTAGTTGTCGACGTCTGGGATTGGTTGAATAGTCTCCGAGGTCTGGGATTGGTTGAATAGTCTCCGAGGTCTGGGATTGGTTGAATAGTCTCCGAGGTCTGGGATTGGTTGAATAGTCTCCGAAGTCTGGGATTGGTTGAATAGTCTCCTAGGTCTGGGATTGGTTGAATAGTCTCCGAAGTCTGTGATTGGTTGAATAGTCTCCGCGGTCTGTGATTGGTTGAATAGTCTCCGAAGTCTGTGATTGGTTGAATAGTCCCCGAGGTCTGGGATTGGTTGAATAGTCTCCGAAGTTTGGGATTGGTTGAATAGTCTCCGAGGTCTGTGATTGGTTGAATAGTCTCCGAGGTCTGTGATTGGTTGAATAGTCTCCGAGGTCTGGGATTGGTTGAATAGTCTCCGAGGTCTGTGATTGGTTGAATTGTTTCCGAGGTCTGTGATTTGTTGAATAGTCTCCGAGGTCTGTGATTGGTTGAATAGTCCCCGAGGTCTGGGATTGGTTGAATGGTCTCCGAGGTCTGTGACTGGTTGAATAGTCTCCGAAGTCTGTGATTGGTTGAATAGTCTCCGAGGTCTGGGATTGGTTGATAATCTCCGGGTCTGTGATTGGATGAATAGTCTCCGAGGTCTGGGATTAGTTGAATAGTCTCGAGGTCTCTGTGATGATTAGTTGAATTATTTCGAGGTCTGTGATTTGTTAGATAGTCTCCGAGGTCTGTGATTGGTTGAATGATCCCGAGGTCTGGGATTGGTTGAATGGTCTCGAGGTCTGTATTTCTGGTTGAATAGTCTCAGAGTGCCAGCGATTGGTTGAATAATACTTCCGAGGTCTGGGATTGATTGCACCTGGACCAATCCGTCATGAAAATAAAAGACGTTAATATGGGCGCGTTGACCAGTTACTGCGCCACATCCGCCGTGGGCCCTCGCCCACACACTTTCCGCCCCCCAACATACACTAAATTTGGCCCTGCCCTTCACCCTCATCCTTGCACACACACACTTAACTATCCTGCACACACACACTTTACTTGCCTTTTGTACCACCACAACACAGCGCCGCTTCGGCGCTTTAACACCACCACAACACACCATACCACCACAGCAACACCACAACACACCATAACACCACAGCAGCACCACAACACACCATAACACCACAGCAACACCACAACAACACAACACACACTGGTACTGATGCTTATCGACACAACTATTTTCGTCCGCTTGTGGAACTTATGTTAATACAACCACCAAGGCGACCGACCCAAGGCCCTTAACAACCTCTATATACAACAGTTGTATCGTGTGGGGTTATGATTATATTTATTAATTATATCTGGATCTGAATCTTAGAATGTTACGTGTTTATTGTTAAGACAAGTGACAGACACATGAGATGATGATAGATATTTATACTGAACTAATTTACAAAACAATATTATTAGGATGTGTCTTGTTTATATATGGCTCTCTCTCTCTCTCTCTCTCTCTCTCTCTCTCTCTCTAGTAGGAACATTGTTGCATTTCGTCCTAGATTAGGCCTAAACTGGTTGACCAATCAGATTTCTACAGTGACCCACCATTACTACACACACATTCCTCCTCTCCTCCCTTACCTCCTCCTCACCCCACCTCCTCCACTCCTCCCACCTCCACTCTCCACTCACCCCCCGCACACTCACTCCACCCCCCCATTCCTCCTCCACCCCCCTTTGCTCCTCCACTCCACCCCACACACTCCTCACCCCACCCCCCCACAGACACACGCCATCCACTCTACCCGTTAAATAAAACCGAATCCCCAATGACTGCTGTATCGGACCCGCCTCACTGCGACTAATAAACACCCTTTCTCTACAAACTACAAAACCATTTCACATAGTAACAAAGTTTTAGTCATTTTGATAAAGTTACAGATGACTTAACCAGATAACATAGTTTTTTAATACATTACATTGATGATTTAAAGGATACTACCTACAGTATACGAGACTAAATGTAAATATTTAGATAATTTGACAATTTAACGGATAAAAATATCATATTTTTATTATGGCTGTGTTAATGTTTATGAATATTTTGTTCTAGAAATAATATAAAAATAAACTATATGTTATTTATAGATGTTATTTACATTGTAGTTCATAAGTAAAATCAATATTATTATATACCGTCTTGCGTTACTTAAATTTCCCTCACAGTACACTTAAGAGTACTATATATACCCCTGAAGTGTACTTATCTGATAAATAGTGTTCATTGATGTACTACACTTGTCACTAACTACTATACTGTATACTCGCTGGTATGAACATTGTGTATATCTGTGTATTATATCACTACTATACACAAGGCTATTCGTTGTTTGTTTGTCTATGTAAAGTATACACAATTCTCTATTTAAAATATAAAAACTTTTCTGCTAGATACTATTTTTTTCCTCTATGAAGTATACTCAGTTTTCTATGTATTGTAAAGTATAAAAATATATAGAAAGTATATATAGTTTTATGGATCACACTTTTAACTTTCACTGGACGATATACTGAGAGGTGTGTGTGTGTGTGTGTGAGGTCACGGGGTCACTCACCACACACACTACCCACAACACGAAGTCACCACACACACACACACTACCCACATCAAGCGGGTCACCATACTATTCACATCACCTAACTAGTCACCATATCACGGAGTCACCACACTATTTACATCACTAAGCGGGTCATCACACACTACCCGCATCATCAAGCGAGTCACCACATTATCCACGTCACCGAGTCACCACACTATTCGCATCACCAAACGGGTCACCACACACTACCCACATCACGGAGTCACCACACAGCCCCCCACAAATCTCTCCTCCCTAGAGTCACCAAACAGGGTCACCAAGTCACCACAGGACAAACAGGTGGTGAGAGGCAGGAGTCCAGCACTCGAGGTGAGGACGGTGAGGCCAACACTAGTCTGGCCTGGCACCGATACCAGGCACCGGCTGCCAGAGTGCCACCCCGTCACTGGGCCCTCTGGTATGTTTAACTGCCACCACCACCACTACCGTCATCACCACAACCACTACCACCATCATCACCACCAAGGTCATTACCACCACCATCTTTATCACCATAACCACCATCTAACATCATTGTCACAACCACAACTACCACCATAACCACATAATCACCATAGGTACCCTATACCACTACCACCACAATTATTCACCCAAAACACACCTACCACAACCTATAGAAGAACACACACACACACACACACACACGAGGTGGCTGACTAACACCATCAACAAGTTAATTCTATGTGCACCGCCAGACGTTAGTAAGGTGTACATGTGGCGTCTACACACACACACACACACACACACACACACACACACACACACACACACACACACACACACACACACACACACAGCGTAGAAATGCAACACAGGAGTTTTTGAGAATTTGGCTCAACGCAACTGGTGACAATAGCAGATTATGCCCCGTCCACTATATACCTGCAGGGTACATGATGGCCTGCAGGTAGTGTGTACCTCGGGGGTTAGTAAATATTACCCTGAGTATAACCTAGCTTGGGTTATGATCTGCACTGTTAAACCACAACCCTCCAACAAACCTCCACCCACAACACAGCCCCACCCTCCACCACAGCCCCACCCTCCACCACACACCTTACTAACTTCCCACATCTTATCTATCGCTTCCAACAACAACGTCTACAGCTGCCAGTAATACATCACCGTGAACAACACGGAGCTTCACCACACACTGAAGTAACTACTATGATAACAACAGCGTCTTTCTCTCCCTCTGTTGTAAGCTTAATGTATTTTCGTATCAAGAGTAAACACATAAAAGTTTTAATTTGTTTTATTTATTTTTTTTTAATTCGTCTTTCTGATGTAATTTGAATTCTGGATGTATGCTAGAACGGTTTCTGTGAGTCATTCTTGCTTTGAGCGACTTTCTGTCTCTCTCTCTCTCACACACGCACACTTCCTTGTCCTGTCTACAGTCTAGGTAGAATTTGCAGTGCGTTCCACTGCAGTGGCGCGCGTTCAAGTATTCACCGCAAATTTAGAAACTCTCTTGCATCACACAAATACCCGTATGAAGGTGTCAGGAGGTGTCAGAAAGTGTTAGTAGGTGTCAGGAGGTGTCAGGAGGTATGATAAGGTGCTATGAGATGTCAGGAAGTGTCATAAGGTGTCAGGAGGACTTCTACCATCACGTTTAGCTACGACACAAAACCTAGCTGCCAGATCCACTAACACCCCAACTGCAGCCGAGGTAATTACGTACCCTATACAGTATTAACTCACTGGTGATATTTAAACGGGAAAGAGTCGGTCCTATACACATGACAACCTATTTGGGACACCATAAATCAGACAGGTACTGCATTTGACACCCATAACTTCCTCAACTGCAAAGATAGAAGCCCATTTACCCCCCGGGTGTACTAGGAGTGCCCCGGGATAGAACCAAGGACCACTTATATATAAACAATGCTAAAATGATAATTAATTAGTGGGAGCTAATGTTAAATGTTCAGTATTTCATCCCATGGAGATAAGGATAGTGAACCCTGCATATAACGGACTTTCATCTATAATTCGTTAGATGTAGGTTTCATATCTAACGGACCCACGTTATAACGGATTCTCCTCTCCGTCTAGTCCGTTAAATAGAGGTATTACTGTATCCCCAGGGTGTTTTACGAGCTAATTATATAAGGTATGTGACATTGTGGTGGTGGAGAGGCTCAGTTGTCAAGCCGGGACAGAGGACAACACAGCTACTGGAGGTAATGAATGCTTGTTGGATCACCTGAAGATTAGCCCCTCCCAGCTTATTTAACCTGAAGATTAGCCCCCAAGCTTATTTAACCTGAAGATTAGCCCCCAAGCTTATTTAACCTGAAGATTAGCCCCCAAGCTTATTTAACCTGAAGATTAGACCCTCCCAGCTTATTTCACCTGAAGATTAGACCCTCCCAGCTTATTTCACCTGAAGATTAGACCCTCCCAGCTTATTTCACCTGAAGATTAGCCCCTCCCAGCTTATTTCACCTGAAGATTTGCCCCTACCGAGCCTATTTCACACACACACACAGCCCATTACAGTCTCCTAGTGCTTAATTGTGTAGGTCAATGACACTGAATGCATGACCTTGGCTCTCCTGATGGCTTTTGTGATGGTTCCCTTACTCTACAAGTTATAGAAATAAAAACAAATAGACAAATTTATTTATTTTTCCCTTTATGGTAATAGTAAATTGGTGGATCTTTCTATTTCGTGATGTTTTTATTAAATGTTACACGATTTGATGCTTCCAATAAAGGTATAGTATTATCTAATTCACTTATTTATATCAGATTAATAGATTTATACTACGGAAGTGTGTGGTGAGTACAGTAAAAAAAAATAATAGCAGAATAATAGCAACAAATAGTTCAACAGCGGTGTACAGTATAGTTATAGCGTGTTGGCGGCAAGGACACGGGAAGGAAGAGGGAGGGAGGGGGTGGAAGGGGAGGGGGGGACAGACACCACGCACTGATGCTCACCAACGCGGAAGAACAACTTGTCGCCTCACGGGAAAGAACAAAAAAGAAGTATATTATTCCTCATCTCAACTTCCCTAAACTCATATTAAGTATAGAGTTTAGCGTGTGGTTAAACCTGTCTGCTGGCGGTGTGTCTGTCTGTCTGTCTGTGCCATGCTACTGAACTATATACTGTAACAAAACCTAATAATGCCCCTGGGTACAAAATGGCCCAGATCAAACACTACAGTATACCCATAACCTAACCTAACCAAACCTAACCATCTACCCTGGGTATGTGTTGATAGCCTAATGCCCACCCTAAATAGATACCCTTAACCCTGCAGGGTATAGTATCCTCCCTGGGTATACAAGAACCAGGATAGAATGAAGACAGAGAGGTTCTATTGTATCATGAAGGAAAAGTGACTGAGTGAATGGAGAATGATGACACGGCTGAGAGAATTATATATACCGCAATGCCGTGACGTGTGAAGACTGGCAGTGACAATGACGGTGACAGTGACATAGATCGCGTGTATGTGTGTCGTGTCATAACCTTCCCGATTTAACCACCAATAATAACAACAAGTCCATTAATATACTAAAATACTCCAGACAGACATCCTCTCATTCGCACAAAACCAAATACGGAACAAGGAGCATTACGGAACATGACTACACATAATATATATATATATGTTTCCAGGATTTGTGAATGATTGTTCGTGAATGTTGAGGTGCTACTTAAACCCTTGGGAATGTTGGTGTTACTTGAAACCCTGTGAATGTTGAGGTGTTACTTGAAGCCCTGTAAATGTTGAGTTGTACTTGGAATGCTAAGAATGTTGAGGTGTTACTTGAACCCTTGAGAATGTTGAGGTGTTACTTGGAATGTTAAGAATGTTGAGGTGCTACTTGAAGCCCTGTGAATGTTGAGATGCTACTTGGAATGTTAAGAATGTTGAGGTGCTACTTGGAATGTTAAGAATGTTGAGGTGTTCCCTAAGACTGTGGATCACTGCCCCCTTCAGGATGTGTCGAGGAAGGGCGTGGCAGCAGTGGGCGAGGTGTGACAATACTTAACAGCTGACGTCACGCCTCAAGATGGGGGGGGGGGGATTTCACTGTTCCTCGACTGATGTTTCAAATATACAGACAGATACAGACTCAGACAGACAGAAATAGACACAGACAGACAGACAGCTATAGACAGACACACAGTAAACATCTAGATAAAAAAGTTAATAATCAGTTGCTTTTTGTTTAATCTTCGTGTGTGTGACAGAGGAGGAAATCTTACACCGTTGAGTCATTTTTGATCACAATGGTTAGTTTATTTCCTGTCACACGGTGGTGGGTGTGGGAGGCTGTCTCACCTGCCTTCCTCACCTCACACCTCACCTGCCTTGCCTTCCTCACCTCACAGTGGTAAAGTCTGACACAAGCACTACGACGCCTTTAAGATAATGACACCATTCATTTGACACTGATTTATGACACTGCTGATCCGACACTTGACACTTGTGATAACTGACACCTTAGATCTGATATATTTGGTCCGACACATATTAAGCTTGACACCTCAGATGCGACACGTGACACTCTTGACATGACACAGTTGAAGAGTCGTGAAAATAAAACGGCTTGTTCGGCCCCCTGTACAATTAACACACACTTTGGTAGGTACACACATAAACACACACTCATAATTATACACACATATGTACACATAAAACATACACACTTGTACACACACTTAAATAAGTACAGTACACATGAACACTTAAACATACACACACACATACATACATACTTCTCCCTCCACTACACAAGACATAAACAACCTGATTCACATACTTGACATACTCGGGTACACACACACACACACACATACAGTCACGTCCACATATAAACATACTAGAGAGGAAAACCCGTAATCACTGCATTGTGTAGTGAAGTGACGAGGCGACTGAACTACACTTTAACGTCAATTTACACTCACACACATACACACCTGTGAAAGTTCTCAGCAACAGCTCAGTCAACTTGACCTCAATATCACCCCATAAGCTCACTCGTTGGGAAGGTTGACACACACGTTGTATACTGTGTCAGGGGGGCGCTCCTCTGTCACAACACACCTCACTTTCCTCACACAACCAGTGCTCAATGAGGAGTAATAGTAACAGTAGTACCAGTAGTAATCGTAGCGGCAGTAGCAGCAGAAGCAGTAGCAGCAGAAGCAGTAGCAGCAATAACAATAGACGACGGACGACTATCTTGGTTTGTGAGGGTAGACGGCGCTGTGCTGTGTGAGGAAGCAGTCTGCTGGCCTTCTCCTCCACCCTCACACGCTCACCCACACACCCACACAACTACCGCATTATTGTACCGTCATTTTCAGCGTCTCG